CTTTATGACGTACATCAATAAATATGATGGCATTGTAAGAGGAACATGTAGCGTGTGTGGGCGATCAGTTTCTCTTATTTCCCTTGGTGTTGTTTATTCAGTGATTTCTGGCCATCTTTGAGTACATCAACAACAAAAATCCCATAAAATACCCACGCTGCAGGAAAATTTGTACTTACGATGAACTCCAAGTAAAAAGCAGAAAACAGGATTATAAACATGAATTATTAGATGTCTGAAACACATCAGAGCAATTTTCTCATTGGACTTCAAAGGTTCCTCTTTACAGACTGATGGAAACATCTTGCAGGAGTTGGGGAAGCGGCCAGGAGGTGATGTGTGGTGCCAATATGCTGATTATTAGCATATGCGCTGAATATCTTTTGGTTCTGGAAGACGGAACTCCGGGAGAGCATAAATTACAGCTCATGCATAGAGGACAAAATCTTACATAATTTTTATGTAGGAACAAGCAAAAGATTGAATACTTGCAGAAAGCTTCTAAAGTATATCTGTCATCTATACACCGTAGAGGTAATATTTTGCAAACCAGGAATCCTTCACGCTTCGTTCCAGGTTCTCATTCTATCTGTTTTCTATTGGGAATATGTTTTAATACTTTCTGTCAGGACCAGAAGCGAGAGAAAATCTTTCCAACAGAGATACAGACAAAACACAGAATTTTTAACACATACCTACCCTAATTTTGTTGGGTTCTGCTGTGACTTGTAGTCCGCCTTTGTTCGGGTACACTGTCCTATTTCGATCCATCATCAGTGGCAATTGGGTACTCAGGTATAAGTAATGGAGGAGGAAGGCCACATAGTGTAATTCCACCTATTAAAATCCATGGAATAAAACATGTACAGTATTGCACTTACAATCATAAGATGTAAACAAGCATTAAAAAGCAAACCTCTGAAGACGCCTAGTGGGAGGGGTGAAATACGTCAGGTACAGACCTTAGTGACATAATTTCTGGCCGGTGGAGCGCACGTCGGTGCGTTATTCTCTGGTTTCACAGCAGAACCCAACATCTCCTCCGCCAAAACAAGTCTGACTCTTGTTTGTTCATAAGGGTCCACAGGAGTTGATGAGTGAGTGAGTGAGTGAGTGAGACCACCGGTGTGGAGCACAGAGCACAAATTGCATGGATATATGAAGAGCACTTTAATTTTTGGAAGCTATAAAATTCACCAACAAATAAGTCACAAGGGACTGTTTGTGTGTATGTCATTATAAAGGGGCAGCACTCTTATACTTTTTAATTTGAAAAATGTGTTAACCATATAGTAGGGCTGTACCCACACTGCATGGGCTAACTGCTCACTTTTGTCTAGAGGTGATAACAGTGAAGATATACTTACCAAATCTGCTGATCCTCGGAGCGCTAGACCAGTCCCTGATGCGTCTGCCCCCCTGCACACTAGTGATCTTGTGAATGGACTGTTTCTGATGTCATCACGCCCATAGACCGGTTCCAGTTGTGAGGATGACAGGAACAGTCCACTGCTGGATGTGGGGGAGCACAATTTTCTGAAGGATCGGAAGACAGGGTAAGTATAGCTCTTCCCTAAACCCCTGAACAAAACTATCAGTTTTCCCATACAGTGCGGGCACACCCCTACTGCATGGGAAAATCCAAAATTTACATGGAGTTCTGCTTTAAAGGTAAAATAACATTATTACATAGTAGTAGAGATGCACTGAAATTTTGGCGGTCGAAATGCTTTGGCCGAAAATACCCCTATTGGCCTTTGGCCAATATGAAAACAGCCATCGTATAGGTGCCAAAAATAATCCCACTGCCTGTCTCCCCTCCTGCTGCCTGCTACCCGCTGCAGCCTTCTGGTGGCTCTCAGCCTTACCTGAGAACCCATCCAATGATCCCAGCGCTGGGCATAGAGATCAGTGAAGGAAAGATGGCCTCCACTCATCTCTATGCCCTTGGAGGATCGGAGTGACGTCATTATGTCACTTTTGGTTCTGGCACCATGTAAACAAGACCTTTTTTTTTTTTTAAAGCACTAGATCAACCCCTTTTTTTCTTCAATCTAGTGCTTTATATGCTAGAGGAGATATGTGGGGTCTTATTGACCCCACATCTCTCCACAAAGAGGAACTGTCACTACTGCATTCCTTCTGATAAAGGTACAGTGTAAAAAAAAAATTTATAAAATATTTTTTTTTTTAAATGTTGCCTCCGTTTATTTTTTTTAAATATATTCTTCAGATTTTTTTAACGTATAAAAAAGTTATTTTAACATATATTTTTACATATATTTGTAAATGCATTCCAAAAATGTAGATTTGTATTTTTAAAGACTGTATATTTGAAATTAATTTTTAAAAATATTTTTCATATATTTTGTAATAAAAATGCATTTCAACATGAACAAGTTTATAACTGGACAAGTTTATAACTTCTATATGTTTTTTCACAGGCATATTTATGTTTTCTAACAATTATTAATTTAGAGACTTGCAATGAGCATAGCTGATGTTTTCTTTTTAAAAGAGAAGTATGGGGTTCAGTAAAAGAAAAATGATACTCACCGAGTTAGATGCATCATTTTCTTCGATGCAGCATCTGTCCCCCACTGCTTCTAAGACTGAGAACTGAGCGATCAAAGATCACTGATCATTCAGTTCTCAGTTTTCAATCTGTCACCGGCTCTCTGCTCAATCCCTCCACTGGAGGGGGTGGGAGCGGCTGGCGCAGGCTCTCAGCAGGTCGCCTGCTGATCAAGGCATCTGGGTGGATTCCAAATTTAAAGGTTTAGACATAGCAAAGGGTTAGAAACCTTTTTATTTCTATCTATGTTCCCACTGGTCAAATTTCTCCTCCTTTCCTGTCCTGGAGGCACAATAGGAAGTAAGGCAAAATCCCCCCAGAGTGAGGGAAAAATCCCAACTTTAACAGTTGTTATTGAAACAGGTGTCTGCATTGGGAGATTTCCCTTCAACACCTGTTTAGGTGACAGCTGTATATGTTTAGATTGCCCTTGTTACCACCAGGACAGAAAATGTAGGTGAATCTTCCCACTGGGGATTGCCAACAGCAATAAAAATGCTTCCCTACACTTTTCCAAAGTTTAAAAAGTTTTGGCTACAGATCCAATTTTATTATATAACTCAATTTCAGGCACAACATGTTTTTTAGATTTCGATAGACTTAGTAAAAGTGAATGGTTTAATGGATAGTCAGTTGAAAAAGGTCCATCAAACCTGCAGTAGATGCAGAGGAAGGCCAAAAATCCCTTATAAATTATGGTTCAATGTGCTCTAATAGGGGAAAAATTCCTTCCTGTACCCCTGAGACAAACAGATATTCCCTGGATCATCAATCTACAGCAGCTTTCTTAAACTTTTTAACATGAAGGAACCCTTGAAACAACTTTCAGGGCTCAAGGAACCCCTGTTAACAGTTATTATATCTAAAGCTTATGAGACATTAAGGTGAACATCAAATTGTAGATATAAGAATAAATAAAGAAAAAGGAACATGGCATCCTTAGGGTTGTCCAATACCTCTATATTATTTCAGTAATAATAATATTAATAATAATATGATAGAAATGATTATAATGGCCAGAAGACGGGCACAATGAAAATGGTAGTGTTCCCTTTCATTATTGAATGGAAAACTGACCCTTTATATTGATGTGAAAAGTGCCCCTTTTCATTCATGGTCAATGGGAGAAATAATCCTTACATTGATAGTCAGTAGAAAAATCCTCTATACATTAGTGGTCAGTGGAAATAATTCTTCATACATTGGTCATCAATGAAATGGTTGTTCCTTACATTGGTGGTCAGTGGGAAGAATGCCCCTTATGCTGGTGCTCAATAAAAAGAATGCCCCTTATACTGATGGTCAGTGAGAAGAATGCCCCCCTTTCAGATACCTGAAAACATTATCTGAAAGGCAGATATTGCTCATTGCTCAAGGATCCCATCGCAACCTTTGGATGTTCTCTACAGTTTCAGTTAACCCTGGTTGAGAAAGGCTCATCTAGAGTGTTCTTGTTTATAAATATTAATAACCAATTATATTTTGTGCATTTAAAGGCATCCGGTCCTTTTTTGAAGCAATCTACTGATCTGGATAGAACTAACTCCCATAGAAATCTATTCCACATTTTCACAGCTCTTACTGTAAAAAGTATTTCCATATGCACAAGTTAAACCTCTACCAGGCAGAAAAGTACCCCCTTGGCATTTGTAATGACCTTAAAATTAGCAACTTTACACCGTCAACTCAACTGTCAAGTTTTTATCACTGACAGTGACCCTGTTAGGGAGATTTTACCACACCTGTCCCTGTGGCAGCAAGAAATGAAAAACCCTAATCCTAAAAATGAACTGCTCTGCTGATGTCCCCACTAGAGAGATTACTTCCTCTCCTCATAGGAAGTGAGGGGAAATTTAGTTAATGGATCCGCAGACCACAGTAAAATCCCAACAGAGGTACTGTCCTTTCCCCACTCTGTACATTTTTTTAATGTTTGGATGGAGTGGAGAGGAATTAGAACACGTGTTAGTTTTTATTACTGTCTGGGCCCCTGTTAGGTAGACTCACCCTCTCTATTTGTCCAGTTTACCATTATCATCGAGAGTGACACTAAAGTAAAATCCCCTAATTTTGGTTGACACCAGAAAAGGAACAGAGGGGAAATCTTCTAATGGGTACATCTGTTCTGTTGACCCTGGTGGCACCCAGGAATTCCCCCACTTGGAAAGATTTCCTGTTTCATTTCCTGTTTTGACTATGAAACAGGGAGTTGAGGGAAATCTCCAATGGGACATAGCAAAAACCCTCATAGGGGTTATAACCTTCCCTTACGAAAATGAAAAAGAAAGTTTTTGCCTTTAGTTACACTTTAATTGTGGCATATTGTCAGAAATCACATGTCAAAATTACTAATATATTGTATACTTTGTATACTTACAAATGCTACTAATGACAGCACACTTCTTTTCTTCTTTTCATCTTTTCAGGTTAACTTGTTTTTCCTTCTGAACATAGTACTAGTGCTTGTGACGAAGTTACGAGACACCCATCGGGCGGAGTCCAACATGTACATGAAAGCAGTACGAGCCACGTTAATTCTGGTGCCGTTATTAGGGATCCAGTTTGTTATATTTCCATGGCGGCCGGAAAAAACCGACTGGCGGGGGAAATTTATGATTATATCATGCACATATTGATGCATTATCAGGTATCGGACACTTGCCTTCTCCATCTTTTTTTTGCTTGTCTTTTATCAAATTACAGTGTATACATGAAGGATGTCTACATATTAACAGTAGCAAAATGTTTCCAAATTGGACCTTGCATAAAAATCTAAAGCTCTGCTTCTTTGTGGCCCCCTTCCCCAATATAAAAGGTTAAGGTCTGGGCAAACGTGATGTCCTGGACCTTCTCTCAGAGCCCTAAGAAAGCTAAGATCCCAGAACAGGGCAGCTGGAATGAATTCATGTAAAATGTTGAATTCTTAGCCTTCCCAGATTCCTAAGGGAAGGCACAGTGATGTTATCTTTATCACCAGAAAGTGGCCAGAGGTTGCTGTTGCTGTAGAATTTCTTACAGGGGGTAGGAGGCTACTAAAGAATAAATAGGCCCAGAGCAAAATAAAACAGAACAAATAAGCATAGGGTCTACATGGCAGGATAGATATGGAAAGCTAGGGAGCATGAGAAGTTAATTTTTTAAGTTACAAGTTAATTAGAGATCACTTTGGAAGAACTGTGGGTATTTGATAGTGTATATGGAGGTTTTATATTTGTGTTCATTTTTTTAATTTTCTGTTGGTTGAACTGGATGGACTTGTGTCTTTTTTTCAACCATATTAACTATGTAACTTTCCTGATCAGATAAGGGATAGATTGGTTGGGGGGTTCTGAGATAGTCTGAGGGGAGGAGCATTGGCACATCAATTTGGCGATTAGCTCACTACGAGAGATGCTTGTAGATAGATTGATTTTATGAAAGCCAAAGCAGCTGGTGAGTGGTTTGGGTATTTGAAGGTTGTCAATTTAGTGTTAGTGTGAAATAATCAGGGACCTATCGTTGGTAAGGGGTCCTCTATTTCATTGTATTCAACTGGTGGTGATTATAAATCAGCTGGTGTCAGCTGTTAGTTTTGAGATTATCCCCGGGGGTGGTGTGTTGCTGCTGAGGGCCTGATATATGGAAATAGCTCTACAGTGACATAGATTGTAATTGTTCCTAGTGCTTTCAAAGACCTGCAACCTTAAGCTGCTTTATAGTTGCATTGTTGTCTAAAAGAAATGCGTTTTCTGTTTTTGCAATAGAAGGTTGTAATGACTATTAACTCAGTTTCAAGTGTGATCTGGTTAATTGCAGGGAATGTTATGGTAGTGTGGACGGTAGATTCACTGAGAACATTTTTTCTACCCTAGTCATAGCATTCTTATTTTAGGTCCCAACTCAAAAACATTTAGCAAAGCATTAGGGATAGCAATTAGGGATGAGCTTAGTTTTGATTCAGCTATCAGTACCAGGCCATTGAATTGTGGGTTGGGTGTTCTTCAACCCACAGCTGCATGTTCACAAAAAGGTTGGGGTTTGCTTAAGATATCACAAACCTAACATGGTCATATTAGGTCATTGATGTCACAAGCATCCCTGACCCTTTCAATACATGCAGCTGCAGGTTAGAGAATAACTTGGCCACAGCTGATTGGCCCCAGAATGACAGCTGTCTTCTGGGTTTGGCCAAACTCAAGCTCATCACTAATAGCAATTGTCTGTGTTGAAAGTTGTATAAACATCTTACCTGTACTGAGCAAAGCTTTCAGTGCTCCATTTCATGGTCCAACATTATGTCATGTGTCCCATGACAGCTGTTTGTTGTGGGCACCAATGTCACCAGAGCATTTGTTGGAAGTCTTTGCTATCAAACACCTTAGGGCATCCATTGAACAGTAATCAGAGCACTGCAAGATCTACTTGGTACAGTGGACAACAATTATCTGTGTTGAAATCTGTATAAAATCGTACCTGTATTGCAAAAGTTCTTCAGTGCTCCATTTCTAGGTCCAACATTATGCCATGTGCACCATGAGAGCCCTTTGTTGTGTGCATCAATGTTTTCAGTGTTTTTTTAAGTCTTTGCTAACATACACATCTTAGTGCATCACTTGTACAGTAAGCAGACCACTGCAAGACCTACCTGACACAGTGGACAACAATTATCTGTGTTGAAAGCCATATAAAATGTTACTTGTATTGCGCAAGTCCTTTGGTGCTCTGTTTCTAGGTCCAACATTTTGCCATGTGTCCCATGAAAACTCTTTGTTGTGGGCATCAATGTTACCAGAGTCTTTGAAGTCTTTGCTAACATAAACGTCTTAGAGCATCAGGTTTATAGGAACCAGAGCTCTGCAAGACTTACTTGACACAGTGGACAGGTATATTTTTAGAAATGCTTAACACCTCTACCCATGATGATAAAGACTAGATAAGGAAGGAGCAGAAAAAAACTAAAGTTATATCAACAAGGAAGACAGCTGATGTCAGAGTTCATGTTGAAGACATAGAAGTAATAGACAACATCTGCTTCCCTGGATCAATTATTAACAACAAAAGGATCCAGCAGTCAAAAACGCTACATAGACCGATACTTGGAAGAGCAAGTATGAATGATTTAGAAACAATCTTTAAAAGTACTGATGTGTGTACAAAGTTTAGAACTGCACACATTTCTGTCAAAGCTAGACAGTGAAAAAGCAAGACAGAAAAAGTATTTATCTTTGAAACTTGTTGTTGGCAAAGAATTTTAAGAATACCATGGACAGCAAGAAAATCAAACAAAGGATCCTTCATCACATCAAGCCCAGCCTTTCAGTAGAAGCTCAGTTGACTAGTCTGAAGCTGTTGTTTTTTGTACATACTGTATTAAAAGAAGAACCTACTCACTGGAAAAGACAAGAATATCTGTAAAAGTTGCAACTTGCCATTGCAAAGACTAAGGGATGTGCTGAGGTTCAGGCCAAACTCTGTCCGAGCCGACAGGAAACTATCACAAAAAAAATAGCTCACCAACACAATCAGTTGCGGCCATGGAATCTCCTGTCCTACAGCCACAGGTAACAAAGAGATGGCAATGCTGGGGACACTATTGACATAATATGGCCATACCACCATGTTTGGAAAATGTAATTGACCAAATATATTCATGTGGCCATACTAGGTCAGTAAGCCCATCTTTACTGAAGACTCCAATAGAAGATAGATCATTCTGGAGAAACATTATCCATGTGGTTTCCATAGTCAATGCAAACTTGATAGCACCTATTTTCCATATTTATTCACTAATTTATTTTATAGTGGACGGAGAGTTTTAGGTCGATTTTCATAGAGATACAGTCACTATGCCTGTTTGGAGGAAACTGACAGTGACTTTGTAAAGACTCCCCAGCTGCTGAACCTCATCTTTCTACAGCTACTTTGCTGCTCCTGCTTCTGTCACAGCTGGCACCTAAATATCTAGTGTTGACTGGTTTCAGACATGAAGAATATAGGGGACTTCTCATTGGTAACAAATAATTGTTTTTCATTTTCTCCAGCAAAATCATAAAAAAAAACACAGTTGCTGCTTTTCTGCACTTGGCTGATACAAGAACTGCTTTCAATTCTCAATTTCCCTGAATTACAATAATACATTTACTAAAGTTTCATTTAACTGTAGCCAGAATTCTAAAGATGGTGGAGATTGTTCTCAGTTAGAAAAACTGAATTATTCGAGATATGGAAATAACACAGTGCAAAGAATGGACGCTTCTCTGTACTCCCTGTACTCCCTGTTCTTGCACTTTTAAATGTTCAATTACAGAAATTAAAAAAAAGAAAGAAAGAGAAATTGCTTTTATCCAAATTATGACTTGAATTATGAAAATGGAGTCATAATGCAACATGGAGGAAGAGGCTCTAAAATAAGCCATTGTGATGCTTCATACTTGACTTTCACTAAAAAAAATAATGATTTTATCTGTATATTGATAAGTGGCATAAAGCAACCCTGTTGCTAGCTTGCAGTATTTATACCAGAAGAACTCTTCAAAAGAAGAATAGAAATACCTTTCTGAGGACAGTCTTTTAAAGCTTTGCTCTCTTCAACGGCTATGGCCACTGCAGCTATTCTACACTTCCATGTAAGCATGTCTCCCCGAACACTGTGGTCCCTCACATTTAACAGACTGCCCGCTAGGAAAGCAAATATTCCTTTTCTTCTTTGCCGGATTTTTCTGGTATAAAGTCTGCAAGCTAGCGATAGGGTCATTTTAACCTGTTCAGCTCTCAAATGTGTGGACAAGAGCAATTTCAAAATTTCAGCTGTGAGCCTAGTCATTCTGCAATAGTGGTCATTACGTATGATACTAAAGGAAGACATATTTTGGAGGTTCTTTTGGCAAAATTCTTAAAGTGGTTGTAAAGGAATTAAAAAAAAAAATAACATATACTTACCTGTTCTGTGCAATAGAATTGAACAGAGCAGCTCTGAACCTCCTCTTCTTGGATCCCCCCTGGCACTCCTGGCGCCTCCCCACTGCCAAGTGCCCGCAATGGAAGCCAACTGACACACACAACAGGACTTGGCCCCGACACACGCTTCCTTGTCACTGGTTTAGATTGACAGCAATGGGAGCCAATGGCTCCTGCTGACCCAGCAAAGCCTGCAAAGCACGGAAGTAAGGGGAGAGAAGAGCAGCAGACGTGCACGGCACTGGATTGAATGAGGGCTCAGGTACGTTTAAGGGGGGGGTGGGGGCAATACCGATGCCTGAACATTTTTTACCTTAATGTTTAGGCTTTAGAACCACTTTAATTATTTTTGTATCCAATTTAAAGATAAAAAAGTGTAACAAAGCAAATAAATGCTTTTTTTCTTCAATACTGTATATGGCCAAAAAATGTGTACTCCCCTCCAAATTATTAACTTCAGGTTTTTCCAGTGAAAGGCACTGTTAATACTAGACATTCCAACATTGTGGTGTGAAGGCCCTTTTCTGGCCCAGCAAGACATGCATTAACCACTTGCCCTCCTGACAATTGCTCGGTCATACAACACTGCACCCAAATAAAATGTATGTCCTTTTTTCCCCACAAATGCACCTTTCTTTTGGTGATGTTTTATCGCCTATGCATTTTTTTATTTTTTGTGCTATAAACAAAAAAAAAGGCTGACAATTTTGA